ACCTAACAGGAACATAATGCTAAGGATATACCAGCTTCCTTTTAACCAAATGCACCAATGCAGGATGAGGATGAGACAATACCCCCACACAAGTAGATGATGAAACAATCCCACCGACGCAAGATATGGAGACTGCGGAGAGTGATATGCCGTTCTTGGTTGGGGAATTGGGGCCCGACCTTGTGGCGATGGAAGACACAAAGGCGGGCGATATGGCACACTTGGATAGGATAACATCAGATGGCAGTTTGAAAATCATCCTTGACAGTTTATGTCTTGCATTAACTAATGACGAAAGTGCTACACACGCTCCTTATAATAACATGTAATATCTTTTTTGTATTAGTTGGTTCCTCGAAGAAGAAATAGGGAAGGGGGCAGCGAGAATGCCACATGGATGGGAAAAAGATCACAAGATGCTTGTATTTACATCGCCGGATGGCAAAAGCATTGTTGGACCTAACGTAAAAGAGTACAAGACCGCTATTGGGGTGATTGCGCGCAATGGAGCTCGACTCCCTCTGCATTACCCAACATTTGCTGAAATACCGGAGACAAAGAGACAGGGTGCATGGATGAAGGTTCAGGTGATGCAACATTCATTAATTATAAATTCCTTCGATTTTTTTTAGAGTTCTATTTACTCTCATACTAAATTGACTGGATGGGGCAATAACCACGACACATGTCCTACAAGAGCAACAGCGGATTACCAAACTCAACAGAGAAAATGGTCTTGGCTGACTTACGGGAGGTTTGGAGGCATTGGAAATACAACATCAAATCAACTTACTTCAACCCAATCCAGGATGACAACGAAGCATTGAAAAAGGTTCCTTCAAGCCGGATTGTGGCCGATCAATGGCCGAAGTTGGTCGAGTACTGGCAGGACGAAAAGATTAAGGTATGCAATAGAGACGAACAATAATTTGAATATTATATTGGCAGAGTCCTATTTGAGATCTAAATAATTCGTATATATGTAGCTTCAATCCAAGAAAAATGCATCTAACGTACAGAAAAGAAGCTTCCCGCATCGTACTGGGCGGAAGTCCTTCACGACTCTCGCCGAGGAGGTACCTTTTATTACAATTAAGAAATCAATCCAAATTTCTTTGTTTCTATGTTATGCTCTATCCATACGTTTTTCTTTTGTATAGTTGATGGGTTTTTCAATGACGCATTGCCTTGTGTTGATGTAGATCAAGGGGAAGGGGAAGGAACCCGACAGTTTAGAGATATGGATATCTAGTCGGACACAAGGAAGGGAACAGACAATCAACAAACCGAAGAGATATTGGTATAATAAATTCATTCCCTATGTTAATACAATTTAGACATTAAATACCTCTATAACTATACATGTAAGGTCGGCCTCACTTGATTCTTTTGTTGTAGACATATTTGCAGAATGAGCTAAACAAGATTCCCCCGGAAGGGCGGACTCCGGCTGTTTGGGAGACTTTTTACCGACGGGCTCTTGGGGGAAAGACCAAAAAATGCTCAAAGGTTGACAATGCAGCCAGTTCAGCTCATCCCCACAGTGACGCAACTGATTTAACAAATATTGTAGCATTCCAGCAAAGGTGGGAAGAAATACAGAGCGGACTTGCAGAGTTGAAGGAAACGATGGCGGAGTTCAAACCCATCAAGGCTGATGTGTATGCATTCATGCACAGAAACTCCGGAGCAGTTAGTGCCCCATCTGTAAGTATTATTAATATTCATACTTTCTTTAATTGCATCCCACGAGCTTTGAATGGCTAAAAAATTCACTACGATCTGTTTATTCTTCATAGGCCACAACTCGTATTGATACGGTCTCTGAGCTTCTTAGGCCTGTCTCTGAATCACCTATGACAGTATGATTTTGTGAAACCCTAAAGTTAACTAAGTGTGAGCTTTAGGCTAACCTTCATTTTCAACATGTATGCTTCCAACTCTTCTGCAATCTCTATTGTAGGTTGGTACCCGTGTGCTTATATTATCTCGTACCGGGGAGAAGAAATTTGTTGCTGAGGGACTTCTGCTCAGCCCCCCTGCACTAGGTTCATGGCATTGTGCTTTAATTTTATTCTTTTGAATCCTTCAATATGATGTTCATACCACATTGTCGATGTTGTGACCGTATAGGTCTCATAGTGCAGTTGATTATGATTTTATTAAGTATGGGCATCTTTAAGTTGACATATGTGGCAGTTAGAGTTGTGTATATATAGGCTGTTATAGTAGGGACAGTGGTTATGTTGGTGTAATGCTGATTCTGTGCTGATCTTATATTTTTTATCGCTGACATGACATTGTTTATGGCTATGCTGTTATTATACTATCTAGGCGCACACTACAGTCCCAAAACCGATGAATGGATGCTTTATTATTGAGTATTTGTGTAATCCCAACCTGCACACAATAGGTTTTTATGTGATGAGGATCACTAACATATATTTTAATTTATCAATGGTCATTACTCTGAACTTGAACTCATCCGCGGGGGTCTGCTCATATTTAGTGTATAAATGATAATTAATCTTCAATGGCATGATACTACAACACATACATGGAGCAGCCCGGGTTTGAGGGTAACCGTAAGGAATTATTAATTATTGAAATAATTATTTTAATATTGTACATGATCTACTGCTTTACGTAGGTTTTATTTATGGATGGTTGGTTTATAGTTCGAGTTGCAAACGCATTGAAAAGTAGAAAGTAGTGTAGTTTGGTGCCGAACTAATGGGTCAAATATCATGTATCGTAGTACATGTCCGAATGTACATACTCGTGGTATATAAGTTGGGAAATATACACTTCAAATAATTTATGATATGTTTTACGTACAATTTAATGTGTTGATATATACCGTGAACTACATACTTTTAAATTGCTCTTGTGAATGTTGTAGGTGACACACTTTCCCTTGTCAAGGTTTTCGTTACATCCGCCGCAGTCCCGGACACACCCCTTATTTTGCCGACAATTGCTGGGGCGACTACCTTTTGCGAGGTGGTCGGTGAAGATCCTATTGAGTGGAACTATAAGGATGTATGGATCTACTTTCACAACTTTCATGTATGGCTTCCAAAATTAAAATAATTATTACTTAAACTAAATCTTATTCTGTTCGTAATTGCAGCTCATGCGCCACCCTTGAAGCATATCGACCGGTTCCTTTATGTTTTGCCTATGTTTGCATTATCAATTGCATGTCGTGGATGTACTTGGATGGTAGGTTCTAATGGCAATGTGAAATACCTATGGAATAGATGCACAGACATTTGGATGTATCTTTTGTGTGGTAAGAATTGTTGCTATGGATTGATGGATCTCCCCAATTGCTTATTACTAGGTTGGATGTTTGAAATGCTTGTGTTTGACGAAACATAATGTCGAAGTGGAGATGTTGCTAGCCTTGTTTGATTGGTTAATTTACTTTTTTGTTTGCTGGAGGAAATCGACTAGTAAATACTGCTATGTTAATATCCTATGTTGGGATTTCCTTATAGTGTTTATTGTTTGCAATTATGGCCGATCGTAATATTTATAGCATGGTTGTATAAGAAATATCACAGCAGGTTAATTTGTTACACACAAATTCAACTATTCCACAACTACTCTTTTTTATGAGACGCTATTTTTTCGTAACAAAAACGAGAAATGACGTAACAAAATGTTGGTTTTGGTGTTTGTTGTTACGACCGGTTCTGTGACCATAACAATGGATATTTTTGTTAAGGGTTCAATGACCTAACAAAAAAATGAAATGCTGTAATGAAAAGTGGTTTTTTGACGTAACAAATATGAAGGGATATTTTTGTTACGGCCGGTTTCGTGACCATAAGAGAATATATTGTTAATTACGGCTTCAATGACGTAACAAAAAATCGTAACAAAAAGCGTACTCTGAGAATGGATCAAAGTAAATTTTTTTGGTAACACGAGGCATTGTTGTAACAAATATCGTGATTAAAAGACCTGGCACACGCGTGGAAAGCTCGACTTTTTATTACGAGAAAAAATTTGTAACAAATATCGTAACAAAAAACTTGCCATAAGGATCGTTGACCAAGAGTAGTAGTTACGAAAATGTGCGTGGCCAAAAACATTCGTTACGCGAGTACACATTACGGATAAAAGTCGTCACTAAGGCGTAGCAAATACGCAAATTGCACGAAAACTAGCTTTTTGTTACGAATTTCCGGCCATAGCAGAGAACTGTTTTTTTGGTAGTGTAAAGTGGAGAAAGATCTCCTTGCGACTATAACTTGTACGATTGCCACAAATCTTACAGGGGCAGTGTACAATTGATCCCAAAGTTTTTCCATTGAAAGCATAGCTTAAGAATTGGATCACTCCGTCTAAGTATTTGTTGGAAGTGTAGTTGGTTTCTTCTATCCAAGTTATATCCATCTAATAAACAATTTTGGAAAGAATCCAATCAACTAGCCACCAACATAGTTATGTGGCAAATGATAACGCATTATGTGCTAGTTATATATGTATTGCAAATGCTACTATAATTTGACTTATTTCTTTCCACTTTCAACTATTTGTGGACATGAAAATGCCTATCATTTCAAGAAAACTTGCATATTCTTTAAAAAGTTTATAATTCAATAATGTGTTCTAGAATAAAACAACCAACAATGTAATACAATGTATATTGTGTAATGTAGTAGCAACCAAATAAGAAACATAGCCACTTAGGGGTTGGGAACAAAAAACATGTACAAATCCATCATGATGAGAAACACCGCTCTGCATTAGACAGCCTCACCAAACCAAAAATGATAGCGGAATCAAGTTTGTCCGATCTTTCCGAACGGAAAGTTAACTCCAAATCTGTATCTCCTATAAGTCTTAAGCACAATGTTGTACCACTATAATACTCAGATTGTTATGAACTTCAATTAACACCTTTAAAGGCCATAAAATTGGAAGAATGAATAACTTACAAAAGTTGTTAACTGTAAGCAGACATAAGCAAAAGAATGGCCTTCTACCTGTAGGTGATCTTCAAAGACAACATCAGCCCCTATGCACCTTAACGCTCAAATTTTTCTGCCACAATAGACTATTCCTATTAGAGAATAAAAAATATAGTGTAAATGCATAAACAAGTAAATACCTACTGCTCGCTTAAAACGAAAGCTTATAAGCAGAGGACAAATAAATTTTAAACAACAATGGCAAATTAACTATCAAAATCACGAATACAATGACAACGAAGGTTACAACACATTTTTCCACTTTCTTATTAAACAACAAGTTAATGAAATATATTAAATTATCCTATAAAATATATCCATAATTAACATATATATAAAAAGAGACACATAGTGAACTCAAAGATGCTACAATTGCAATTATAGTCCTATATACTTACACATTGAAACCAAACATGTTACTTATTGAGAAAATAAAATTGAGCTAGCAGCTCAGATTTGGCTCAACCAATAAAAGAGCTTCATTTCATCACTAGATCATAGGAGAATAAGACTAAAATTCTAAACCTCATTCGGCTGTTTTTTTTTTTATAACTAAAACAAAATGTTTCCCAGTTGCCTATGATATTGTAAACAGATTGTCTCGGACATAAGTTATGTTGGCATGTATGTGGCTGTGTATATAAAACTCCACTTGAAATAACACAAATTTACCATCACAAGTTCAAATATTTGAAGCCGTTTAGCGTGCTTGCTCTCCTAGTTGGTTGGCTTAATCATTCAATTACTTACAGCTCAGATATAAATTTTAGAAAGTAAAAAAAAATTGTCAAAATAGAGTAAGAATACAAAATTTACAATAAGTGTATAGTGTCCCATTAGTAATTTATCTGAGATAACTAAATCACACCACCAAAATAAGTGAATAAACACTACTTCTAATATTCCTCATGTACATCTCCGAATTTCCCACCATTGGTCTCAATTCTTCAAAAAGTATCAATCAAAGAACAACTCTGAATTTGATGACCAAACCAAATGACAAAATAGCAAAAATTGACAATGGGCCACCATTTCATAGGTTACCATTCTAATATAGAACAATATTAACCAAACCTACACCTTCACTTCATAATACTCGACGTTTAATCAACTATAGTTTTTGTTCTTTCTGAAGAACGTAGTAGCTCAATTTCCTATTAATTACCAATCTACAATCTTCACATAACATATGATTATGTCTGACTTCTTATTATCACAGTTTTACTCAGCCATATTCAAGTTCCACATACTTCAAAAGAAAGCATATATTTTATGCAACCGGCTAACACACCATTCAACATCTAATTTGACTGATTCAATCACATTTATTAGTAACTAAGTGTACTTAAATACAAATGCGCAACAAGCATGCCAAAATCTGAACTTCTTAGTTGATGATAATGAACCATAAAATTGCTAATTTAGTTATGTTGGCAACAACTGAACATCCAATATGAAAAATCAAGCTTCGACAATACTTCAAAGAAAATGAAAAATAACTTTGATGCCAGTGTTTGTTTAGAATACGAAATTGAGTATTCACTCTTATGTTGTTCACCATGTGAACCCAGCTGTATAAATTCAAAATCTAATATTTCCTGCCAAAAGAGGTTGCCCTTTGTTTGGTTGCTTAGGTCCATAAGTCGATTCTAATGGGGGCGTTAATGCATCCCCATGAGTAGTGGCATGCTAGTAAAATAGGTTGAGATAATGACAAGTATAGACCTGGGCAATAAAGTGCACGAGGGAGGAGAAAAAAGACAGCATAAATGCTTGAGTGTAAGAGATCAGTCATTGATGATTCACACATTGCCAACGGAATCTCTCACAATAGTTATTATTATAAGAAAAATGCCATTTAGTCACTCAAATTAGGTGTTGCAGAGTAGATTATGTTCAACATAATAATTTAGTTTACAACTTTCATCTTAAAATGCAGTTTAAAAAATGCAAGAGACTAGGGTTTAGTGCATTACCAATAAATAGAATGAAAACCTCTAGGAAAACCTAAAGCTCCAATATAGTAATAAACCCATTGATCCATTAATTTAACACTATTTATAAGTGAATCATAGAATGTTGCATAAACTTCTAGCTATTTAATCTACAAATGAAATAAGTTCAATATAGAAACAAGTTATAAATTTAGAAGACTTTAGAGTTACAAGACTGGAAAGGCATGCGCAAGTGACAAATATTAGGTAATATTTCCACTTCTCAGGAAAACCTACAGCCTTGATATCACTTATTTTTACCCATTTGATTTGTGTATTACCAACAAAATAATTTCAACCATAATGTTATCCGAAAGCCACAAAATCGAATTTTAAGCTGTCGATGGGAAACCTAGGTTTTAAATCCAAAAACCTATGTTGCAAACATTTAATCGAACAAATGAGCGTCAGCTAGACGAGTATAAAGCAATAAAAAGAAAAACCTCAAACACACAAACACGTTAGGTTTACCAATCGTTTTAACTCACCCGTCAATTGTGCCCTAAAACGCAGCGCGAACGCCCACCTTCGAACCTAGGTGATGAAGGTTGCCAGTTTATGGTGATTTCTGGGTTACCTTCCACCAGCGACGGTGGAGCTAGGGTGGAGGCGATGGCGGAGAATGGGTGGAGGTAATAACAGCTCAGATTGGAGGCTACTCTGTAATTTCGTCGATAAAGATAATGTCAACCAAAATTTCCAAGTGTTTTCATTGTAAGTATTAATCTATACGTAAGTCATAGAAAGCGTCTTCACGCTTTTTATTATTTTTTTTTTGTAAATAATTTTCAAATTTGATTTAATTTGATTTTAAAAAATTATTGTAAATAAGCTCTGAAAGTGTAATGGAAAGCGTGTAGTTATTTTTTTGGTAAATAATTTTATATTGAATTTTTATTCATTTTTTAATATATAATATTGACATTTTTTGTTACGGTGTGTCTTCGTAACAAATATATATAAGATGATTTTTCATCAAAGTTGTATTTATTACGGATATATTTTCATAACAAAAGAAAAAAAAAGTTGACCTTCCTAGTTTTTATTTATTTATTTATTTTTATATCGACATAAATTGTAACAAAATTTACTTTTTGTAACATAATAATTGTTACAGTACATTAGCCTGTTACAAAAGCTCAATGTTTTAGTAGTGACATGGAAAGATACACAAATTCATACCTAATATAATATAAATAAATAAATAAATAAAATATATTTAAAAATATAAAGTGAATATGACTCAATATTTCCGGTGTGTTCTTTTAGTAAAAGATACCAAATATATTTTTGGAAAAATTAATTTATTACACATACTTACTATTTTAAAAAATTTTCTATAATTCACATAATTTTTTTTTTTTTCCAAATCAAAACAAAAAGCAAACAAACCCTTCAACTTTGTTGCTGATCGATAGATTTCATCAGTCTCATTTTTGCATCTTCAAGGGTCCATTTGTGTTTTGTATCGATTTTTGAATGCTTGCGGCTGTTATAAGTTTTTGGTTTTTGTAATTACAAATAAATAAATGATAATGTTAAAATATTATTTAAATTAAAATTCAAACAAAACCAAAACAAATATTGCGAAACAGTCTATTTGGTGAAATATTACTATTTATTTGGAAAATTTGTAAAAATATTCTCCATATATATTTAATTATCACTTTTATTTTTTATTTATCTTGTTGGTAAAATATATCTTATACCGTGGCAAAAATCGTCATTTTTGTTATTTGGCCGCGCACGGAACAACCAATGTGTGAACATCACGCGCAACCAAACGAAAAAAATGACGAATTTTCACTACAAGAAAATATCAATTTTGTAACGATATTTTTTCATTCCTAAATCCACTTTTTCCGTTACTAATGATATTAGCGACGGAATTAGATATTAAATTACGTTAGCTACGTGAACTTTAGGAACGGAATTCCGTTACAATTATATTATTTTTTTTGTAGTGTTAGACTTACCTTTTGGTTTGTTTCCTTTATTATTTGTTGTCTTTTATTTTCCTCAATGACCTCTATATAAGGTCTTTGCCTATCCTTGTAATGGGAACTTTTTTTTCACATCTTGAATTGAATTTCACTTTTACAATTTTCTAGTGTTAATGAGTGATTTCCTCGCATTTAGAGTCTCAAATTGAGTCTTTGGATGATTCCATTCTTTGCAGTGGGATTTAGCCTATTGTTTGTGTTTTAGCCTATAGATTGATTTCAAGTCCGAGACTTATTCTCGTGGTTGGTTATCATCTATATTAATTCACATTCTCTGCATTATCCTTTCTTCTTTATCTCCACTTCTTTCAAATCAGGTCTTTTGAGTGATTTCATCGGTTTGTGACTTCTAATCCTTTGCGGTGGGATTTAGCCTATTGTTTGTGTTTTAATCTATAAAATGATTTCAGGTCCGAGACTTATTCTCGTGGTTGGCTATTATCCATATTGATTTACATTCTCTGCACTATTCTTTCTTCTTTATCTTCCCTTCTTTCAAGTTGGGTCTTTAGAGCGATTCCATCGGTTTGTGGCTTCCAATCCTTTGTAGTGGGATTCAGCCTATTGTTTGTGTTTTAAATATGGTTTTGATTTCAGGTCCAAGACTTATTCTCATGGTTGGTTATCATCCATGTTAATTGACATTCTTTGCAATATCCTTTTCTCTTTTTTCTCCCTTATTTCACATATATTCCGTTCTCTATTGAACTTTCTGGCTAAGGAAATTATTATGGGCATAATTATACGCGGTCGGACCGTGTCAGTGCCACCTCCACCTTTCTGGGTCGTCGACCGCACTCCGCGCTGCCTTCCTCAACCCATCAACAGCGAGCCGCCGCTGCCCGCATATGTCCTCAAACGCCAACCCTAGTTCTTCTCGTAAGTTTGGATTTGTTTGTGAGATTTTTGTATTTTTTAACTAGTTAGGTTTTTCTTTATTGTTGTTATTTATAGATTTATGGAGGTTAATGTGATTTACACTTTCTTTTGAAACATTTTTAGGGCCCGATTTAGTTTTTTTTTTTTTTTCCTTTTTTGAATGAATTTTGGGCAAATCTACTTTGTACAAAAAAAAATAATGTTGTTCTGAACAGTTATTTCATATTATAAAGTTTTTGGTAGAAAAGTTTATTGAAAAGAATGGGTTTCTGAATTATTGATCATGGTTGCATGTCCATCTCGTTTGATTGATTGTGTTAGAACTCAAATTTGATAGGGAAGACCCAATGCATCACTCATTTTCGGATTAATGATAGCTGGTACCTAATATATTTGCCTGGTTATGGGTATGAATCATTAGCACATTCGTTCCGTGCAACATATTAACATGTCTGGTGCAATAATTTCTATGGAATTGAACCTGAATTCTTACTTTACTTTTTAGTGTTGTGGATATTTTTAAAACCATATATATGTATGTTGGTTAACAAAACAGGTATGCAACAACGCCGCATGAGGTTCGGACAAATTAGGAATGGTTCACTAAGGACTATTTCCTTACCCGGCCGACGCTGGTCTCTGTGTTCCTCCTCATTGATGCCAGCATCCTTGTAAAAAGAATCGATCTTGATTATGCAAGCTCACTGGGACCAAATCAGGTTTGTAATTCCGTGTGGAATTATATGTACTAATTCCAACATACACACACATGACAGGTAGGATAAATCTATGAAAGGAAAGAAAAGGATCAAATAGTACTACTGCTAGGAGAATAGGCTAAGGAAAATATATGTTTGGTGTACTTACAATTCATTTGATTGTTACTTTCATATTAAATTAGTTTAGTTGTCGGGAATGGGATGGATTATGTGTGTATATTGATATGTGTAGGTAGCATTTTTGTTTAGCTGATAATTATATAAGCATTATATTTATATATTTTATAACTAGTATATACGATGAAGTACGGATGTACACTTGAAAGTTCTTTTCTACCTTTTGCTTTATCGGATATTTCATTTCCTAATCCCTATTTTCCATCCGGGCAATGACATCAGTGACATTGAGCAGGTTTCTTTACTATGCATCTTGATTTTTGCCTCTTTTTCATGTTAGCATTTTTTCCCCTTAGTAATATCCATTTTTCATCTATTTTTCAGGAAGCAATTTTTCGAACCTTCGTTGGTACTTTACATTTGGAAATTGCATAGTTTTCTCCTGGAAAAGAGCATGATTCATCGGGTTTTTTCTCTTGGAAAAGAGCATGATTCATCGGTTTTCAAGGATCACAAGTTAATATCCATCAGCAAATGGGTGCTGATCTCTTTAGGTGTGCAAACTCCAAATGTTTTCCTTTTCTTTTCTTGTTCATTTGTCATTTTGTGCCTATTAAAAATCAAAGTTTTTTTAGAAGAAGTTAGGTGATTCTTGCATACCAATTTTAAGCAGAGCATATGATTATACAGTTGCATAATGATTCACGATTGGAAATGAAAACTTGGTAGTTTGTTTGTGGCATTCGAGTGGTTTTGTGTACTCAATATCCCGACTGGTTAGTGGCTACAATCTAAATAATACCATATTTGAGATCTTCAATCCTACTAATTATGTAGTTGTAGCTCTCATTAAATTATGGTCACATTACTCGGACTCTAAGTGAGCTTCAATGTTGTAATAAATCATTTGCACTTTCACCGGTCAATGACGTAGTTGTAGCATGTTCAATTCTTGTGAATGAGAAATATGTGCTTTGCAATATTACAGGGCAGGGCAGAGAATTGCAAGCATGTTTCATATCAATTCTTAATGTTTGAGTTAATATCTTTAATATTTTGTATTGATTAAATATTTTTGCGATATATATATTTTTTCTGATAATATGCACATGTTTTCTTTTTATGTATGTAGGTGATACCATTGATATAGTGAAAGTTTTTGTCACGGCTGCTACCATTCCGGAGGCCATGATCATTCTACGAATGACCTCTAAAGCGCAAACACTTAGTGAGTTTGTCCACGTCGAGCCATTCGAATGGACATTCAAGGACGTACGTAACCAATTTTTGAAGAATTTCCCTTAGATTATAACTTAACCATCTCGCAAGGAAATTTTTATATAATTTTGCACTATGTTGGCAGCTCGGTCGTCACCCGTAACTGTCGTGCGTGTTCACTTTGATGCTGCATGAGGCGATGCAACATTGCACGTAATTGTATGATGACTGACTTGTGTTTGTGGATTGATAATGATGGAGTCCTTTCCGTTGGTTAATCTCCTTGCATATTTACTGGAATTTTTATGTTTCTTTTATGCTTTGTTTTTTAATTGTATATGTTTGACAGTTTTTGGATAATAGTTATGTTTTCAAACAATGTTTACTTATGCAACCGATGGGGATACAAATTTTCTGTAATATTTTTATATTTTGTAATGTCATTTCATACTATTTTCTCGTATCGTAGAAGTTTTCCGATTTCGGTATTAAATTTTTGTTATTAATGAAAAAATATAGAGACTCTTTTTTGCTGCAAATTTGTTGTTGGTACAAATATCGGTATAAAAAATATCAATGTCATTTAAAATACTTTTCTGACATCCAGCTTATTGTAACAAATTTAAGATCGTAATAAAAGTCGTTACAAATGCATGAATAATTATTGTTACGATTTTTTTATTACAGGAAATGTTTGTTACAAATAAATTGAAAAAATATTGGTATCGTTACGAATACCGTTA